TTTTTTTGGAAAATTAAATATTGTCTACTATTGGAAGTAATGCATAGAACTGGGGTTGTTGGTGCAAAATGTAATTTTTTTTTATATCAAATTGCTCAATGATTTAATGCTTACGTGATTTGTTTCAAACAAATTATGAACAAAAAGAGTTGTATAACATTCTTAATTTATAGTAACTGTAACAGACTATTGGTAATATTCCTAGTCCAAAGAAGCTTAAAATTAGTAGAGTCAGACTGGGTAGTATCTAAGAGTCCTACCCTGGGAAGGTGTATAGTAGAGACCTCTGTGGTGCAGGAAGGTTATTAGAAATGGTGAGACCAAGGTCTTGAAGCATTTAAATGGCTGGGGGGTTAGGAGGTCTTAGGGAGCACTGTAAGCCCCAGCCACAAATCCAATTGTAAGAAATCAGTACATTCCAAAAATAAATAATTAATATGTGTTAGAATGAGCTTCAAATCACACCCTAGGAAATTGCTTTACAAATAAAAACAAAACTATTTTTTGAAATGATTACATATGCCTTAGGATAATGCTTAATTATAAACTGGAGCTACTAACATGAATTCATGAAAAAACACTATGTCATCAGCCATCACACTTTTACAAATTATAACCATTTAAGTTCACTCATCACTAACTAATTTCATTAAAGTATGGCAATCATGTATTGCCATAATAGATTCGTCAGATATAGGTAGGAAATTATTAAACATTAGAAAATAGTATTCATTTTAAAGTGCAATGGACATTACTGTACAATATTTTATTGTCAACAAATTATATGCTAATGTTGTGTCTGAGATTTGATTAATTTATGCAACAGCATATATAATTAGAACCTCCTGGAGACCTGGTGCCTCCCAGGAAATGTAGCCATTCTGACACTGTAAGTGAGGCAATAGTGTGACAATTATTTAGTGGAAATTGGTTATCACAGAAAATAATTGCATAAAACATAATAGTTGTATAAAAGGTTTTATATATGGCAAACTATCTGATGTACCTGTTAAACACACATGTCACTATCCAGAGGACCCTCATGGTATATGCCAAAATTGTTGACAATTGGTATAACATTTTTCCAGTTACTTGTACACACATAGACTTTTGTCAAATAATGGTTTACATAAGATCTCTGTAGTGTAACCAGTCCTCAGATAATACTGAAATGAAGTAAGTCTAACATTCATCAATGATTCTGGGATGGAGTTAGTTCATATGTATTACAGTATTCCATTTGGTAGTGTATTTACTTTGCTGTGCTTTTAATAAGAATATATTTTTCATCTAATGTCAAAGCTACTTATTGATTTTGTTTCTGGGGCATTTGGGTGTGAACTTATTTTAAAAGTTAATCACATTAATAAGTAGTTGTTATTATATTTCTAGGTCATTTTCACATGCAAAGTATCTAGGTGACCTCCTCATACATGTTAATTAAGGTAACTCTATACAAGATGATTAGGCCATTTCAACATACACCATAATGTGGTCACTTCCTCATACTGGTCATTTTCATGTACTGATGACCAGAGTGCCTCCAAGTGCAGGGAAACTAGTATAATTCAAAACACATAATAACATCATTACCTTTTCATTCAGAGTAACAGTCATCTTCATGTACAGGTAACCAGAGTTACATAGGATAATTCAATACACACAGTAACACAGTTACCTTCTCATACAGAGTAACCAGGTCATCTCCACATGTGGAAGGCCTAAACATTGCCTGATGGTTAGTGTGTCATACTGGTGATTTGAGGGTATTGGGTTTAAGACATGAAGCTACCAAACATGCTATACTTTTTGAGCTGCTTTAAGAGTGACAGACAATTCCACTATTCAGTTACGAGTAGTCACTTCAGATATTAAGTGCTGCAAATTGTTTGCTTTTCCTTTGGTCTGCAGTTAAAATTTTGTGATGTCAGTTCCTGAACTATAAGGACCTCTCATTTTGTGTATAAGTTGTTGTTGAGGCAAATAAATCATACAAGGAGTTTCATCTGCAGGTTCATTTTTCAAAGATGCCTTCAATTTCGAATATACACTAGACCAACTAAATTCGAAAACCTTAATGGCTAGTTTTGATGTCATGTCACTCTTCACCGAAGTTCCCGCCAATGAAGCTTGCAATATTGCACTCAACCTCTACATTAACGACCCCAACAAGTTAATCCACATCCCCAGCACACTTTTTTCTTCTCTCTTAGAATTTACAACGACTAAAACCAACTTCATTTTCAACAACGAACATTTCCTTCAAATAGATGGTTTAAGTATGGGCAATCCTGTTTCACTTGTTTTGACCAATATATTTATGACCCAGATCGAAACACAAGCCATACATTCTGCGCTTCATCCCCCCATATACTGGTACAGAGCTGTCGATGATGCTTTTGCTGGTTTCACTTCAACAGAACACACACTAACTTTCTTTGAACACATAAATTCCATTCATCTCAACATCAAATTTACCATAGAACATGAAAACAATAAACAGTTATCTTTTCTTAACCTCAAAATTATTAGATCGGACACACAGTTTAAAATCAAAATTCACCATAAGAACACACACACACTGGTCTCTACATCCCTTGGAATTCCGCTCATGACACCACACAAAGAATCAATACACTTAAAAACCTCATAAACACAGCTACAAGACTCTGCTCAATAGACTATATAAATGAAGAAATTAACCACATAAAGCATTTCTTCATTCATACCAATAAATTCCCACCAGCTATTGGTGAAAAACTCTCCAACATTCCCACAACAAAACTCATGAACAAAATTGATACTAACAAACCCAACAACAGAACATTACACTGCAGTTTACCTTTTGTTCCTGAAACCAGCTCAAGATTTTACCACACTTGGACAAAACTAGCCATTAAACAATATTACTGTCAATGTCAAATTCTTTCAAAAACC